GATTCATTATGAATACTCTGCCTAAACAACCTATCAAAAATTACCAGTATTATGTAAGAGATGTATAAGTGGTATATCTTGATAAACTGAATGTTTGATAAATCTTGTTTACATAAACTCCTAAATTTGGCAAACCTTGTTTTATACTGAGGGTAATGTAACTGTTTTGATTGGTGAATATAGCTATACTGTTTTTATATACACTGTCTGGAAGTGTCTGCTATTGTGCCATTTGTTAATGGGTTGTGTAATAACTTCTACTAGAAGAGCTGCTAAAATTCAACAATAATAATTATAATTAATGATAAATAGCCTTTATTATGAGTGGCGTGCAAACTACAAAAAGGCTTCTTCCATAGCTTTTTCCTAGGGCATCAAATAGGTAACCTCACTGCTAGAGGTGTTTATTATTATTATTACTTTTTTTGGTAAATGTAACATTAAAAGTTTTTAGTAAATATCATTATTTATGCAGCACTTTGATAAATTATATGATAACTTTAAAAAAAACTGGTAATTTTCTTCAAAATCATATCTGTGTGTGTGTGTACAGTACATATGGGAAGGAACTATGTATACATGCATGTTTGGACCAGAATTAATTCATGAGGTAGCATGCTGTAACACTTGCCATGTCTGGTAACCAGAATGTTTGGTGAACCATTTGTCTTAAACTTACTGAGCTGCTACTGTTAAAATACCAAGAAGCCCTGTTCTGAGGGACAGCTTAATGTACAATTATTAATAACTTATGTCCAGTATTTACTGATAAAGAAGTTTGCTCCTTTGTAACTAAGAATTCATTAAAGAATAAAACTCTAATTTTAAATGTAAGTCCACTATCTTCGTGTATTTAGTATTTTTATGTTTGATGTTGGTTATTTAATCCTTGATTGCTGTTTAGACTGCATTTAAAACCTGCTTGATGCAAAAATATTAAAATATGTGACAATAACCTAACCATTTTTGAAATATGCAACTTCAAAATATCCATTATAACAGAAATTATAACAAGGTGAACAGTCAGATTTCGTTTCACCATATACTATAATAAACTGTATACCTGCAAGCATATATCTAGATAATTTACTTTAATATATTATGAATTTGAAAAAGTCTTTAGTACAAATGAAGGAATGTTACTAGTAACAAGAAGGGCCATAAGTTTGGGAAAAATTATTGATGTTCATCAAATATTTATTTCCACTGAATCATTGTTTTTCTCTCTCCTCTTTCATGCTCCACCTCTTCTTCCTCCTCATCCTCTTCCCACCAATCCTCTTCTACTTCATTACTTTCAGGACATGGTGTCTTCTTTGCTGGCATTTGGAGCTATGGAACTTGTCTCCCACCACACTAGACTTTTATTCCCAACTTTTTGTCATCCATATGCAAACAGAGATTTAGCTCCCTGTCATTTAATTGTCTTTGAATTACACTGTCATTCTTCAAATCCAGTTGGACAACTTTCTCAGCCTGCATTGGACCCTCTCTCCCAGGCTTTGTTTAACCAGGGTAGATATTTGAAATGCCTTCCTTCATTCCTGTTATTATATAATTTCCAAATAGAACACTGATATAAGCCAAATTTTGACCTGACAACAGCAGAAATATTCGACCAGCATCGTGTACTAGAATAGGTCCAGCATCAAATTGCACAGCAGCGAAATTCTATATCAACTTCTATTTAATGTATATTTTATATACATTGGTTATATATATAAACTTATTTTCATTGTGTATATTTGAAATATCATGTATAAAGTTTATTTAATGTTTGAAATATATTTTGTTTTTAATTTACATGCATGATTAATGATTTTCATTGAACTTCCTTTTTATTGTTACATATGTGAAGAATACTTTTGATATTGACTGGTTGAATTCTACAGTACAAGTATTCCAGGGTCAGTTGTACATATATAAGCTCCATTAGAAATTTTGTGGTGAAAGCAGGAATACATATCATTTTATACCTTTGGACATGGGGAGTTAAATAAACTTTGTTGCCATTTAATTTAGATAAGGTAGAACGTGAAGGCCAAAGGTCAAGCATTATAAAAATAATGTGAAATATAGTTTCACAGCTTTCATTATGGTATCAGTCTAGTAAAATCATGTAGTTGGCCAAATATCAACGATAAGAAGATAACATTTAAAATTATAACCTGACACATTTAGAGGAATCTAAGTGATGCAGAAAAACATAATCAACAGTTACGTGTCTTCAGAGTCGTTATCATTGTCATCTTCAACCACAAATGGAAAATGCTTCATAACATTTTCACAATTTTCATTATCTGTCCAACGTATACACATTTCTGTGCAGCATCAGCCTGCTACTTTGCACAAGCTGTTTGATGATGAGCAAGAACTTATGTTACAAGCACGCTTGATTAACTGGATCACTGCCTGTGGGGCTGCAAGTATGCATTGTTCCCATTGTCATGGGAACAATGGCACCATCCTCTAAGTGCCATCCTTGGTCACAAAGACCAGGAATGCTGTATTTAGCAATGCTCTCAAATCATTGCCATGTAGTTTGCTCTTTTGATTATGTCAGGGGTTCCCAAGTTTTGCCAACCGGTGAACCCCCTTCAACATCTTTAATGTATTGGTGTACTACCTCCTGTTAAAAATAGTTTTCATCATGTGTAACTGGTGTATCATATGCATATTTTACTACCTTTACAGCTTGATTCTAATTTTAAGAAAAGAACAATGAAAAGAGATTTAAATATGGAAAATTAAAAAACAAATCTTACGACTTTAATGTGAAGGATGACACTGTTATGCTAAAACAATCTTGCAAATTTCTTGGTCAATGTCTGACAGTTTCAAATGAAGATCCGGCTCCACATTTACCTTATTTCTATACTTTGATTATACATAAGCAAGTTGAGAGAAGTCTTGCTCACATAAATAGGTTGTAGGAAATGGCATTAAATATTTTACTGCTTTGAATTAATTGTGACACTAACGTACATACTGTAGTAATGTGTCAATCCAACTGGAAATCAACTGTCTTGTTTTTTGTGATTGGCAGGCAATGGTGCCAGGTACACAATGAATTTACATAATTCAATTCAATAAATGTATCTTCACACAGCAGCAAAATGCCAGAATCACTACATCGGTATCAGATGCATGTATCTCCAGTTTGTTAACTCCCCTTTCTTTAATATCCACAGCATATAGTATCAGTTTTGTATCAGCTTTTTTTGTGTGTGTGCTGCTGAGGTGTTGTACATAGGTGATTTGACATAACTTCTCTGGAGATCTCAACAACATCTATCACTGACTTCTCAAAATGAAGGATACATTTTGCAGCCAAGTATACTGTTAATCTATCTTTGGTTAATGTGTGAGATAAAAATATTTGTGTTGAAACACATTCAATCTTA